CGCGGCTGGGCTTATTAGCCGTGGGCTTAATAACCGGCGACTACTGTATTAGTATAAGCAAGAGTAGTGGGTTGCAACCGGCGCTATGCTAAAAGCATAATGAGAGTGATGGTGGTGGAAGAAAAAACAGGACAGACAGACAGACAGACAGACAGACAAGGATGCGCCTACCTCCGACTGATCCGGCTGGCGTGTGTTGGGTGTGGGCTGAGACGAAGGAACAGGAGGAGTTGGCGGTGGTGGTGGGGTTGGTGGCGGCGGTGGCGTTGGTTGTGGCGGAGTAGAAGAAGGACGACCGGCAGCTAGCAGGGGCGAGGACTGGTAATCGAGAAATGGATTGTTGCACTTCGCGGTGACCCCGCCTAGCAGTAAAATATGATCAACAAGGAAACTCACTCACTCACTCAGCTAGTACAGGCAAAAAAAGATTCAGAAGTGGGGATGACAGCAACGCTCACCAGAGGGACTTCCCACGGCAGTCTCGACAGTCTCACCATGCGTCGGGGACTACAAAATCAAGGAGGAAGCGCAGTTGAGAGCAGATCAGGTTGGAGGCTTTGAAGAGAATTAGGAGCACACAAAAAAGGGATCGCGAAAGGCAGAGCGTTAGCTGATGTGGTACAAAAGGCTCTTATTAATCGGGCGGAGGTCATGACGAAAAAACAGCTGGTCGCCTGGTAAGATGAATGGTTTTGTGAGTAAAAAGTAAGCGAATTGAGAAAACTAGAAGATAATCGCAAGGATGGCGGGGAAAACCCAGAGCCTTTTCGGGGAATAGCACTACTGCGTTGGTATAAGAGTCCCCAGTGCAAAAACACCCGTGGGAAAAAGGGTGAGTAGCAAACGGGGAAAACAAGTGCATTAAACTAGAAACTCTGCATACCTGATTAGGCTCCTTGTCGGGACTAGCAGCAGTAGGGAAAAAGGGGAGAAGAGCAAGGACACAAAACATTATTATCCTTACGCATACCTACTCACACCATATTAGTAGACAGTTTTTAGTAATACAAATAATATACTGTGGGGGTGGTTACACGGTTAACAATGGGGTCCGTACTCGTTGGCAGAAAAACGTGACGCGCACCGGGACAAGTGTAGCAACAGAGCTTAAATTTGGTACACAAGATACACCCTTTGAGCCAATCACAGTGAACACAGTCCGGTTTTCTAATAAATACCGCCAAAATACCACCCGCAGGTTGAACGAGATCTAATTTGCGTTTGTCAATTAAACAAGTGTAAGTACGTGTAGTGATAGACACTGGATCTTGACAAATAACAAAGAGGCGGTAATCATACGCTTAACGAATCCAAATTTGTGCTCGCAGTAGTAAATTAGCTGTAGCGCTCATGCTTTTATACGCTCTATGTTTTAATTCATTTCTTTTTACCTGCGATATGGCCTAACCATAAAATCCCTATTAAGATCGGCCCCGTACGACAGAATCCGGGAGCTATGGTATCTAAGGGACACTGCCAACTTTATTTTTACCGATTATACTGACGTACAATGGAAAGAAAAATGGATTCGTCAGCGTTCGGAAAGAAAATATTCAGAATTATGCGTAATTGTCTGTTAGGTTAAACTTTTTGTTCTCTCGACCCGAAAACATAGCCAGTTAATGAGGCAGCTCACCTGGTAATTTTAACAGCGGTTCAGTGGAGCATAGAAAATCCTTGTGTACGATCTTTAGAATCGTTAAGCCATTTCATTATACCCAAAGATGACCTAATCAAAAATCGGTTCAATAAGTTCGTTATTTGGATAGAAAAAAAAGGAGTCTTATTGCCGTCTTTTGGCCTGATTGCCTTCTCGAAAATAAATCAAAAGCAACCAAGTAAACGCTCGATTAACGTAGTGTGATGGTACTGTATATAATAGTTACTTAGGCGTTGTAAGTAGTCATGTTATTTACGAAGAAAAGAAACACGTAGATGTGCCCACCACGCAGAGAAGAGCGCGACGCGCGATAACCGCCTCAACTGCCTATTCTTCACACACATGGCTTTAAATGGGAAAGCCGGCAGTGTGCGGGGTATTATAAGCAACAAGGACACAACTAACCTGAACGGTTACCTTTGGCGCCGGTGGCATCGGTGAAAGGAAGGGATTCATGGAGGCTGGAGAGAAATAAAGGGTGAAAGTGGAGTATGTCAGTAATTTTTTGCAAATCTTTGGCGCATAGCACATGAATTGTAGGAAATAAATCAAAAATGTCGGGTCAGTCCCGTTTTGGTTCGAGTGAAGGAGGCCCAGGATAGTGAAAATTGGCCAAGGCTACGTAAAATTATATTTACAGAAGCTTCAATTTGCAAAGCTTGCCGGAGCGTGGGAGCAGCTAAAGTGCGTATAACCGACAAATACGCCGCATCACACCGAACCACCTAAACACCACTTGCGGAAGCTTGCTGATATTGAGCTCTAGGAACCAGCCAACCACAGGCATTCACAAAGCCTGTAAGCATCCAATCAACAGATTGAACTCGCCTAGTACCTGTATTTGTTAAGGCTGTGATCGTACCTGATCCAGCCGGCCTCGATTATATCCCGGATGATAGATCAGCACGCGTGACGATCCGTGGCAGTAGCCCTTAACGGTTCAATCTATTCTCATTGCCAACGCCGGAGACCGAATACCAAAT